TATATATATATATATATATATATATATATATATATATATATATATATACCCGACGCATCCCTCCTATAGGTAGTGGACAGTAGATACGTTTAGGAAGTTTTGATACTTTGAACTGCAATATGTATGCAAGCATACCAACACAACGATTACCAGTACAGTCGAGCGAACACAATCACAGCTGACTCTTTGGCGATGCACTGAAACGGAGGTCTGGTTAACTTTGATTTCTAGTGGTTGTGTTGACTTTCAGAGCAGCACACCCCCATATTTGGCTCCCCTATGTTTGGCATGAATTCACTGCAGTGAATACATATGAGCTTCAGGGATCTTCCTAGTTTGCAGGAACTACGAGGTGTTGTCACCAATAGTTCCTACATCACACTGAGTTTCAAACGCCCACTTGGGGCCGATATCTCTAACGGTGACGTTACATCAGTGTCACTTCTAGATTCTCCGAAAGCACTAGCTAGCATTCCTAAAAACAGTGTACAACGGATTCTATTCACCTCCTAGTATGGATATAGTGTAGTTCTGGGATTCCCCTCATGGCTCATTATCACGCATTCTGTCGGTTACTAGGTTGCATTTCCTTGCTCTTCTGAGTGGAGGTAATGAAAGGCATATTCCATGTCATTCTGTCCCTAATATGTCATTTCTTGATGAAAACTATCTGAATGTGAGTTCCATGTACTCAAACCATATTGTTGCTGTGTTCTTGACCACCATCATCCTCACTCAGGTTCTGGAAGGACACACAGGCTCCGTACTGTGCCTACAGTACATTGGAAACCTCCTGATAAGCGGCTCAAGTGATACCACGGTTCGCCTGTGGGATCTGTCCGTTGGACGTTGCTTGAACGTGATTAATCATCACACAGAAGCTGTCTTACACTTGCGGTTTCGCAACAACGTCCTCGTCACATGCTCTAAGGTAAGTTGCCTACGTTCCATAAGGCGTTGTGTTCACTTTGGTCTGCACCGAGTCACCTCCTCTGGCAATCCCGTCACAACATAGCACTGCTGCCCAAAAATACACTTTGCCACATATTTTTTGAGTTCCCCAGGCCAATTTCCTAGAGAATGCACGACTTATTTCTTTGCTAGCCTCCTCCGAAGTGAGACCACGTCTCAGGAGGCGGCTGCTTACGTTCCAATGCAAATTCATCTTCCCCAAAAGCATTGACGGGAGACGGTTTTTGTGCGGGATCTTAAACTCTGACCCCATGCTAGCACTCACCAGTATATATCCAACACATTCCTTGTTTGTATCTTGGAGTGTTCAATGCTTTTCCTACATCAGCTCACAGCTTTTCGAAGGTATTTCGTTCGGGTCTTTAGAGCGCCGTCAACACCGTAACCCTCCAACAGTACAGCTGGTTGTTAAATCCTCAGAGGTTAGTGTTTCTTTGATTTGTTGGCCCGGGATTAACCTGGTTATTAGCACGTCTCGGATTCGTTTTCGTTGGCTTCAGGCCGTGTTCCTGAGCATCCCTTTTCAATTTGTCTGCTCCCAACCATTTTACTTTTTATTTGGGATGTAACTTATTCCGGGATATTTTAGTTCACTCTTCACTGTTTGCTTGCTTTCATGTAGGATTTTTTTGGATCCCCTTTCCGTTCTTCCCTCCGTTTTGACATTTACTCCACTATCAACTTGAAAGATTGTCAGCCCGTTTTTTCACAGGGTTTCGGCGCTACGGGTCGAAATCAGCTCTCGGCTGCACCGTTTCTTCAACTCTCATTATCTTGCTTTAATTCTGTATGCTTTTGTGGATGAATCTTCAACGTTGACGTTCGACACGGAACCTTTTCCACCGATCGCCCAAAGCTAACGGTTATCCTTGTGTAGTTCTCACCAACATAAATTGCAGGTGTTGGATGAGGCATACCACGGCATGGATTTCTGTACGAGATTGTAGTAACTACGCTTGCACCCTCGAAACATGTATCGTGAAAGACGGAGTTCATCTCTTTGGAAGGTTTGTATCTTGCTTTGAGTTCCGAAGGGATCTAGCGTAAGAGAAAACGGAATAATGTATCGAAATATTGGTAGCTCGGATGCGTTTATTCCCTAATAATCAGATGGCTGTTGGTCTGTTCACCGAGCTTGGGGGTGAGGTGGTTCAGTGGTTAGAGCGCGAATTTACTGACCGGAAGGTCCGTGGTTCGAACCCGACCTCCGCCTCTCGACTTCCCCTGTCTAGCCTTGGGCAACCTGGCAGTATCCCAGCCTTCGTGCTTCCTTCGGGTATGCATGGCAGCTAGGTTTCGGAAAGGTGCCACAGCTGAACGCTTTTTTCCATATTAGTTAACAAACGAATGAGGGATGTTCTTGTTAAAACTGTCGCCTTTTGCAGTAGCTAAATAGCCGGAGTACTGATGCGCACCGTCGATTCGCCATTCGTACGTGGATGAAGATTTTTTTGTAGCTCATATCACAATCAATGTGACGACAGGCAAACTAAAATTGACAGCTTTACTGGTAGTGAACATTCCTTGATGAACGCACAAAAAGACACGATCGTGTTACATTGCATGCATAACTCCTTTAACTTGACGGCTTAGGTGCTATTTTTTGTTCTGACTGGCAGCTGTTACCATGATGCGTACAACCAACGATCACTGCGATTTTTATCCGAAGAGCATAATATTCACCATTGGAATCCGAACTGGAGCAAACTTATGGGAAGCTTGAGACTTTTCCACCATATCGCTCGCATATAGCGGTACCCGAGTGTCATTCAATTAGCCTCCTTTAGGCTGGCTACTAAATCGCTCTGATTCCAGCGATAGTGCTCCTCCGCTAGAGGGCCCGCTCTTAGTGAACAAGGTCGGTTGCGATGGACTTTTATCCGGGGGATAATTGACCTCACTTATGTGGACTCACTAGAATAACTGTAGCGAATTGGTGTCTTATCCCTGTGATTTTCACACAGCTTTTTTTAGTTTTCGATGGACTGTTGCGCGTTGTTGGGAGGAATGTTGATGAGCCTGCATAGTAGTTTTCATTTCTTATTCTCTACCTAGCTAAACACAAATTAGAATTACAGAACAAACTATTCTACTTTGACGAACAAAACAGTGAAAGTCTTCGAGAAACTGCCAAGTGTTTCCTCATCTCACGTACCAGTTTCCTCGCCTTCAATCCGTAATAAAACTGTAACATGCTTCACCGAATAGTATCCTCCGCGTGTACCGGGCTAAATTATCCAAAGTACTTATCAATCCGATTCCTACTCAGTCAGTTGGAGCCTGCTAATATGGTGGGCTCTTATGAATTCATCGACAGTCGACCAATATATGCTACGGCTGTACAATTAGGTCATGCCTGTTTATCGGTTCCATGGGGTTCCGTTCATCAAAGGGATCGCCGTGCTGAAAATCCCACTGTGCTACAGTTGTCTTCCTGCAAGCCCCTTCTCGTGAATGTGGAATACCTTATAAAGAATATGCATTCGTTGGAACCTTTTTGGTTACTGTTGTTGAACTTGGTAGGAAATTTGCTGGCAGTCGTCCCTCAAAATGGTTAATTTTTTATGGGCACCGTAGTAACTACTAGGTCCCATGAGATTACATCAACCAAACGAGATCCTATATTTACTACTCTCTTGTATTACAGGATCGCAGCATCGCTGTTTGGGACATGGGTCCATGGCCCCGGGATGTGCAACTGCGTCAGGTTCTCGTGGGACACCGCGCTGCTGTTAATGTTGTTGATTTCGACGAAAAGTACATTGTCTCCGCAAGCGGTGATCGTACCATTAAGGTTGGTTTCTGAAACTGTGGGTCTTTGATGCGCCTGGGCTGCGGGTTACAGTTTGGAGTTCTTAACCAGTTCACCGTGTCACAGTTTTCTGCTTCATATTGATTTTTCCTTACTTCCACATCTCGTAAACTTTTGTCTTCCACCTTTCTATGGGTTATATTCGGTTCCTGATGGACAACATCAATTCTCACCATGTTAGGTTTGGGCCACAGATACCTGCGCCTACGTGCGGACGCTCACTGGACATAGACGCGGAATCGCATGTCTGCAATACCGCGATCGCCTTGTCGTTTCGGGTAGTTCGGACAACACCATTCGCATATGGGATATTGAAACCGGTGTTTGTTTCCGTGTTCTTGAAGGACACGAAGAACTGGTGCGATGTATCCGATTCGACTCCAAGCACATCGTTTCTGGCGCTTATGATGGGTGAGTCGTTTCTCCCACTACCGGTTCCATTGTTTTTCTCTTTAACTTTAAATTCACTTCATTTGTGTTTGGTCGGTTTCAGCCCCACCCTTTCTCGTCAACTAGCAAGAAATTAGACGTCCCCTTAAAAAGCTACACAGTAGCTGTTCCATCGTTACTTTTGGCATTGTACACAAGAATCTGTCTGTTCCTTTCTTCGGTATTCAACAGTTGTTGCATTGCTCCCACACCTTTCGGAAGCACTGAAAACATTTCAGTGTTTTTAGCAGGCCGCAGAAGTTCTATACCAAAGTTTCCCGTCTGTACCCTGTGAGGTGCTTGTTCCACTTTACAGATAGTCTGTATTTTGGTGTCGTGATACGAGTCTCCATCTCCCCGAGCCGATGGCCCTGAGACTAGACAAAAAGCCCTATTTTAACAAATACCCTCATTTGAATACCAATTTGGTTTTGAAGGGAGACTCACCTGGAACCCAGCTGAATCTCTCGTTTGTGTTGTTCTTAAGCAACTCAATTGCTGCACCAGGCCACCTCAGGTTTTAGTTGGTACGATATTCGAAATATCGCGAACATAAGGTTGGTGAAAACTCGAGGATTTCACCTACCCGATGAGCCCCAAAAGGGTCCAAACCAGTCATGCGCTGTCGAAGAGTTATCAGTAACCTTATGAGTAGTGTATTACGTCTATATAATAACTATATCACTATGTTGAACAATTCGTTCAGGGTGACTGCGCATCGCGTTTTGAATGAATGTGCAGAAGTGAGTTGCTGTCACACTGATACATTTTTTCATTCAACATCTGACGTTTCATTTTCTTCGGAAAATTGAATGTTGGATGTGAGGCAGGGGGATATCCCTATCTATTTTGACGTTTCTTTCTGCTGTCGTCCCTTTATACATGGCTTTCGAGATTTCACTTGCCGTCGCTCTGCTGTTTCCACTCTAAGACTAGATCTGTAGACAGACGTGAGGCGGAATTACTGTGGAACGCCAATAGTAGCTGTGGTTTTGGTTTGCGAGTCGTTTTCACAGATCTTTTTAATCGAGCTGTCAATAAAGCCTCTGTTAACAAGGTATGATCGGAGAAGTTCAATTTTAACTTGTGACTATTTTGGGATCATTCCGTGTGAACAAAATACCTCAACCTCTAGATATGTAATTTGGTTTGGATCACTTGTCAGCTTAGTTTCAAACGATCAACTGACCGCAGCTGAACTAATCGAAATGTCTCTCCTCTCCTGATCCTGTTTCCAGAAAGAAGACCTATTGACTTAGCACTAAATTGTAATTCTGGCCATTTCCAGTGTGCTTGGCCATGGTTGTTAACCGTTCTAGCCGGCTTATGAACATCCGAATATCTTACACGTGACTCAAACAATAGTTGAAACGAAAAGTTCATCTGACACGTGAATAGTGCTTCATGACTCAAACAATAGTTGAAACGAAAAGTTCAATGATAGTGAGTCATCAAAGCCTATTCCATGAGTCCAGTCCAATGACCACAGATAGATTAGTCCGTGGCTCCTTAGTTCAGCCTTTTTTTCAAGAAACCTTATTCAGAAATTTAATGAGGTTGGTGAAACTGGTTCCAGTTTCAGTGAACTCAACGTGCTTTCCAAAACAATGTTTTCAACTAGGTGAAGCCAAATGAAGGTGGCTATGGAACGTGACCATTTGTTCTAGACACGGCCTTCAAAGATTGTGCGGTCATCCAAGTTAGTTTACCGTCCAATCGATCGATCATTGTCATCTCCACATAGAACGTGCTTGGAACGAAATGTTTAATCAACGCACGTTGTTTGTCTTTTCGCCCGACATGGTAATCTGTACTGATGCGATTTATCCGTTGTTCTGCTCCGGGCGGAGAGATACTGTTTCTCAATGTGGCTGACGGCAACTGGTGGACATGGTTTGTCTCCAATGAATTATTGTTTGGGAGATTTCTGAAGGTTTGATCCGTGATTTCTTTCAGAGGCTTGGTTCCGCTGGATTCCTGATATCCCAAGAAATCTAGATAGCCGTGGCATCTTTTAAGCCAACATAAACCTGCTAGGTCTACGAGTTTGGTCGATTCCGCAAACCTCATGTCCACGTTCTTGCACCCCGTCGGCGGCCATCCATAAGCACGCACGCAAATCTGTTAGCTCCAGTTTCCTCTTTATCTGTTGAATGTTTCCCGTGTGTCTCAATCAGCGTTCCCACTTAGGTTTTACACACATTAGGTGAAAAGTGCTACACAGTTTTTGATTGCCAGCAACGAAATGACTGGTACTCTATGTTACCGTCACACTGAGATTGGACCTTATCGTGGTGTTACAGTTTGTGGCCTCCGTGATCCATTGAGTTATCCTGGGTAGTGTTTATGCGACACTCATAGTCTCATGCCAGGTTGGTCAATGGCTAGAGGTGTAATCAACACAGTCTCCTGGCCGTCCAGGTTGGGGTTTGGAACATGTGTGCAGACTTGTCCTATTAAAATGGTAATGCATTTGTGTATCCTGCCAAGTACCACTGCCTTGTGGTCAAACTTTTGAGCCGAAGGCTTTGGTGAAGGACCCTAATCGTTCTCTCCTCCACGTGTGAGCTCACTTACAACAATGAATTACGGTGGTTAGAGTGTGAGTTTATTGACCGGATGGTCCGTAGTTCGTAATCGTCCTCTCCTCCACGTGTGAGCTCCCTGACAGTATCACAGCTCACGTACAACAATGAATTACGGTGGTTAGAGCATGAGTTTATTGACCGGATGGTCCGTAGTTCGAACCCGACCTCTGCCTCGACTTTCTCTGTATAGGCTTGAGAAAACTGGCAGTATCCCAACCCTCGTGCTTCCTTCTGGTGGCGTGTCAGTTAGGCGCCGAAAGGTTGCTACAGCTGAACGATTTTTTCATTGATGAAGTAATAAGGCGAACGCTGAGGGGCCTTCAGAACTCCGGTGTTCAAATCGTCGATGGTGTTGATTTGGAGTACGAAGATGACACCGCCCTCATCTATGAGGACGAAGGCGCAGCACAAGCTGTTTTGGTAAAACCGACCATCATCATACCATCGTTCGGCTTGCGCCTAAATCCTTCAAAGTGCAAAGTCATGCTTCAGAACGTATGGTCTCTGAAATTACCCTGTACAACTCAAGGAGAAAGTGGAGTTATGGAGAATCTTACATACCTCGATAGTCGTATTAGGTCTGACGGAAGTGTTGAAGTCATTAAACGAAACCCAAAGGCCATAATCATGTTTTCTAATTTGCGTCACTTGTAGCTTCAAAAGGGTATATTGGTAGGTCTCAAGAGTCGCGTGTACAATAAGAGGTCTGAATTTACTGGCCGGTTGGTCCATGGTTTGAACCCGACCTCAGTCTCTCGACTTCCCCTGTCTAAGCTTGGGCAACCTGGCACTATTCCAGCCCTCGTGCTTCCTTCTGGTGGCATGGCATGGTCCCGAACGACTACTGTTATTTTATTATTAAGGGCTGTATTTTTGCATGTTTGCGAAAAATGGCCTTTGAGGACAGGTGATGTGAGACGCATTCAACCTTTTGTCCCCATCCACGGCTCTGAAGCGTTGCTGGTTTTGAGTGGTGTCAACGAAGTCGTAACGATGTAAGTAGTAAATGGGTACTTCGTTGTGTAGCAGGTGGAAAGTATCCAGAACCATCGACTACGATGGCTCGGCCGTGTTCTACACATGCTGAAGCGAGTGTTGCTCTACATGTCTCCTTCAGAATGATGGGAGCCGCGAAGTGGACAACTTATGACTTGACAGAAGGATGTGAGAGATTAGGAAGAGTTTGGATGTTGGTTCAGTAACTCTTCCATGGTGGGTTCCCCGTGTTCTCTCCTGCTCTTGGCTGAAGACATTTCTGGAAATGGCGGCTGATCGACGCATGAACCCCCCCCGCCGGGGATTGCTAGTTAGCGTGTGCAGACGTCTGGAGCTGCTTGGTTTCGATGGATGTGTGTGTGTTGATACGACCATTCAATCGGATCTTAGTATACCAAATCGTGAAGCCGAAATTCGGTTAACAAGTTTTTCCTTCTCAGATCATCCACAACGTCCTCTCCTTGGTAGATTACCATTATGATCATGTGAAGCGTAAAATGGTATCAAACCGCCTGACTCTACTAGCAACGCATTAGTTTGTCGTAGTTATCCTTGGTAGATTACCATTAGATGTTGTTTATGATCATATGAAGCATAAAATGGTATCAAACCGCCTGGCCCTACTAGCAACGCATTAGTTTGTCGTAGTTGACAGAGGATTTCACTGGAAACCTATTGCGTCCCTGGTTCTCCCGTAATAACATGACGGGGGAAAATGGATTTCACTGGAAACCTCTTGCGTCGCTGGTTCTCCCGTAATAACATGACGGGGGATACGCTCAAAGTACAGAGCTCCATTCATTGAATCTGGGTGAACAAATAATTCTATGAAATCGGTGATGAGGCAAGCAAAACAGACTGACTTAGAGTCGCGTCATAAATAAACGGTAGTTTGAGTGCTTCTTTCTGAAACCACCGTAGGGCGTTTAGGTGCTGCTTCGAAAGGTGTTAAAATCCACTCTCGAGTGGAAATCGTGCAAACTCAGTGCACTATGCTCTTGTGTGATACATGAGGTGATTCATCCAGTGCTCCGTGTCTGTGTTGTTGGCCTATTCGAATGCCTGAGCGATTGTTCAGTGAAGAAACCCATGGCGCAAGCGCCTCTACAAGGTTATTTTACCGGTGTTGTTGATATATCACACTGTCGGCTGATTGTATCCATTCGAACTGAATCATACCAATATAGAACTGAGTTTCGAACGGTACCAAAGAAAATGAATGTGTGCTTGCCTTACTCCGAGCCTGAACGGATCTTCAGGACTGCCTCGTGCCTTGGTAAGAGTTTCTTGTGGTTTATTTACGTCTGCGTGCATTGCAGGTATTCATCATAAGTTCACATTCGTTGTTAGGCGAATTAGTCGAACAAACTACTGATTACCCCTCATTTTTCCTAGAATAGTTTGTCGATCGATCCCGCTTACCGTCATAACTACTGAACTTGAGAACTGGTTGGTATCAAATATCAACCGACAGATCAGGTTCTTTCTGTATCGCCTTCCCTTCAGAGCTTTCTAGGTTGCGTTAGATATGCCCCCCGGTACGCCTAACATTGAATTGTCGTTGTAATTTATCCAATTCTTTTAGTATGACTCCAATAAAACTCAGCAAGTATTCATTTCCGTAGCCGGTTTCACGGTTAGGAAGAAAGCTTTTGTTCTGGTTGTTTTGCTTAATAGGTAGTTCTGATTCTGGCACAAAATTTCCACTAGATAGACAAAAGGGTCGCAAACTAGGTAGCACGAGAGCCAGAAGAATTCATTTTGACCTCGTTTTGTTACCGCGGATAAAACGACCTGGTTTCTCCACTCCTGAAAACTCCTCTCATATGGTCCAGATCAGCCTTGTGGTTGTTTTCGTGGTAATCTAACTCAACCACACGCAATGTGACGGTGCCTCTCAGAACTTTCACTCACTTGCAGTTAGTTTTTTGGTCACATGCTAAGCAGCTGATAAACACGATTTGTGTGGAAAAAACCGCAACCTAGTTGAGTGTGTCTGTATGCGCTGAAAAGTGACCGTTACTTGTGCACCTGTCACGAACACAGTCGTTTATTACCAGGCCCCCGTGTTCGTTTGACTGAAGAACCAAGGTGAGATAGTCCTCACAAACGCGAGTTCAATGAAAACAGTAGGTTTCTATCGTGCATGTGATTAGTAGTTTGTTCACTATCGCTCTGGATGATGTCAACGCCCATACGCAATAAAGTTTTGCTCTACAGTATTATCCCGAAGAAAGAATGCAGTTGCCCGCCTCACTTCAGGAAATCGTGCACCAGGTTACGGATGATGCTAACTCTCCGGTTGGATGACCCTTCTTGTGAACGGTCTGTCTTGAGCGTGTTGCTCGGCACTAAAGTAGTGTGCTTACGAAGGTCAAGTCCCAATGTCAGAATCCACCTACAGTAACTTATCCAAGAGGGACCACTCCCCCTGCAGATTTCACATCAGCGTTATCCGTCATCTGTGATCTTTCCTCGTCCTGCTGGAATGGAACGCCTTACATTAGAGCGTGAATTGACTTCCCTGGATGCGCTAATTCTGTTGGTCCATAACATGTGGACCACTTCCTAAATCGAATACCCTACCACATAAAAGTAACACAGCTGGACAGACGGAAGAGCACAGTAAAATACCACACTTTCACTCCACCTTAAACAGTGTCAAAAGATCTAGAACTGGGGTTACGTTTGACAGACCTTTGAAGCTCAGTAGTGATTCTGTAGCAATCACTCCTCACCACGAATACACCTATGACTCGAGGGTTGTTCTGAATATCTGCAGGAAGACTCAACTCATGTTTGAAAGCTGCCGGAATGGTTATTTGAGGTCCCTATCATCCAGTATGACTGAAGCTTCACCGCACGCCTTTTGCAAACGTAAACTTTTCTCGAGTCTATCTGTGTGCTCTTTGCCATCCAAGCTTTCTCTTCCCGCAGAGGACTTGATTAGAAAAACCATTCATCAGCTGCGTTAGCTTCTTGAACCTGCCCGTCACTATACGTCCAAGGGTCCCTCATTTATGTGGGTCCTCTAAATTGTCCACATTTACCCAAGTTATCAGCAAGTTACACGGTGTATTTCTTTCGTACTTTTATCTAGAAAAATCAAAGTATGGAGTTTGAAACACGCGCTCGACCCACGATCCAAGCCCAGCCAGTTGTGTATCCATACGTTGCAACAACACACTGGTCGTGTATTTCGTTTGCAGTTTGACGACTTCCAGATTGTCTCCTCCTCTCACGATGACACCATTTTGATATGGGATTTTGTGAGGCCATCAGCTGGTATGGACGAACGTGATGATGGCTTTGACGATGGGACACATCCAGTCCATCCGGTAGCCCAAGTCAATAATTGCCTTTGTGCAGCACCTAGTTTGCCGAACCAGTCTACTCCAGCACCTGCGGAGGTCAGAGCTGCTCCAGATGGGAATGCTGCATCCGGACAGGCCGGATCCTTCCCAACACAAATGGCAATATCCAGCAATGACTCCCCACGTTCGCATCCGAACTGCATTGAAATGGAAAGTGAGTTTGTTTCTCCGGGAACTTCGAATGTTCGGTCGACCATCAACGCTCCAGCTAGAAGTTCACCCATACGTGCCCCTTCCTTACATGGTGCGACTCCTGCCGGGCATCCGGTAGATGAGGCAAATGACAGCGCGACTCGAAACAGTCCAAACACTCGACGACCCTCCGTTCCTTTCCGTAACCTGTATTTAGACAGATGAACGCAGAATTGATGTCCGCATTCTCTATCTCTTTTTGACCAATAGAGCAAGTTTACCAACACGTACACTATCCTGTTATACCCTGCGTTTACCAATGTGTGTTCATACGTACATCGTATTGCCGGTTACCATGCGGCTGTTATGCCCGAGCTAGAACATTCTCAATTCGTCCATACACTCACCACCCTCATCATGTCCATTTTATCTAATCGTTGTACCCGCGGTCAAAGTTTTGATGGATCTGTTGGTGAAATGATGCTAGGTCACTTATGCATTTCTTTTCGCTCTATCACCGCGAGACTGTGATCTCAGGCTGCCTTATTTTCTTTTCGTGTTCCCCTTCGTTTCGCTACGAGTTTCGTGTCGTTTCGCTCTATGAATGTGTGTGCACAACAGACTCGAACGGCCGAGTTCGAAATTATTTTTCTGTGCAACTTCGACTGCTCTGCTCTTCTTGTCTCCAATCGAACGCGTTTTCATCGCATACTGATTTGTCGACAGCACTCACCATAGCAATGTGAATCAGCTTCGGCCACCGTTTCACCTCAGCCAACATACTGCACATGTCGATCTATTTGTGTAAGGATACGTGTTTGTCCCTTTAACACTGGACTGCTTAGCCCGGTACAATGTTTGGTGTTGCCCATTCACGTCAGAATCGTCGTGTGGGGTTGCATGCCGACCGTGAGAAGAAGGTGGTTCTAACTCTGGTCCCAATCTGATTGGTTGTATTGTACGTGCCGTTGTCTATAAATGGGATTTCAGCAATTTGTCAATCTGTTCAGTATTTCTACTGCCGTGGGAGGGTTCAACTGTGATCGGAATGGCAACTCGCTTGGTTTGTCAGTTGGTCATTAGCGAGTTTAGGTACTCATGGGTTTGATGAGCTCCAGTGTTCCGTTTCAAGGACGTTTTCCTATCTTCATCCCTTTTGTTTGAAGAGTTCCTTTCGAGCACATGATTATCCTGATGAGTCCACGCGTAAGAAGGCTTGAGTTTATCCTGTCATGTCACATGATTGGTAATCTGCATTTTCTAATTCGCTCATAAGGTCATTTTTCCCAGGGTGCCTGGTCGATCTTCAATATGCAGTAAAACGTGGGATTTTTATGTTTACTAGCACTGCAGCTTTGAGCTCTTCACGCGAATAGTGCTGCATATTGCCGAATTGAAGTTCATACCGATGTTAGAATCATAACTGAGCAAGCAACTGCAAGAATTAGTGCACTTGAACAACATTTTGGCAAGCAATTTTGAACCGTAGAGCAAATTGAATACCGGAGATTTAGATTGAAGCTCAACGTCAGGTCGGTCGAAATAATGGCTTTAGAAGACAACGACGATTTTGTCTATCGGATTGGGGGTGGCGTTTTGAGCGTACGGGCAAACCAAACATTTTACGCTCATTTATTGTTCAAAGTTTAGTGGCTTGAATCTGCTTGTTGTTTGAAAAAAATTGAAATATATCTTTGGAAAAGACCGTTCTATGCGACAGGTTATTGTATCAGGGTAAACAAGTATTTGTTCAGTACCGGTGCATGCCACAGACAGCACCCAAACGACTTTTACTACTCCACTTACGGATTGCATGAATTTGTGTGATTGGTTGAACCAGAGCCTTTCCACACTCAACCATCTGTAGACCACCAACGCACTGCTTTTCAACCTGTTCCATAAATGGCGGGAAGTCCGCAACGAACGCCAACGAGCCGAATCACCTGGTGTACTTGGACCACATGATTGCTGAATTCAGTTCAACAGGTACGCCCATTGCGTGTTTTAAAGGAAAATGGTTACTGGATCTTATGTGGAAAACAAAGTTGCCTTGATTTCAAAAGCACAACAAGATTAATATAGATTTAACGCCTGTTTTGGTTCAGTGTTTTCTCAGTTATCTACTGATGAACAATCCCCTAATTTCCGCTCTTCACGCTGGCCGACCTTTCTTTCTGAGATAGCCTAAATCTCGTTGGAAGGAAACGGGCGATGAAGCACTTCAAGCACGATGAGTCTATGGAAAAAGCTGATCACCACGGAATAAGAGCTCTGTACCCTATCATCAGAGAATTGTGCACTGCACACCGGAATCACTGCTTTGTATGTATCCATTGGTCGCAAAACTCAGTAAGTTCAACGAAGCTGATCCCACAGAGCATCGCAAATGTCTTGCTCGTAGTAATGTGTGCGAGTGGTCTCTAGCCAACATTCATCACATTCGGAGAGACGTTGGAAGATATCCGTTCCCGCGAATAAATATGACAGCAGCCAAGGTTAGTGAGTTAGCTGTGTTGTGCGGAAGCATTCCAGTCACATCTCACCAGTTACTCACGTGATTTGCTGCACAGTGAAAGAATGGGGCATGCATAGAGCCGGTTTATACTCACTCATGTTTGAAGTTTCTGTAAAATTCCGCGACTCGGCACGAACTGATAGCATGTGTTTCTATCTAGGGAGAAACGCGTCGAGGCTGATAGTCGATGGAACCGAAAATTACCTTGGGTAATAACACCTCAAAGGTATATCACTCTGCCCTTAGGTTGTTCACAACAGCGTTCCGCATCGGCCGTGGAAAACGCCCAGATACCCCTCTCTTGGTAATCTCTTTCGGTAGAATTACTGATTGTAGTTTCAGGGTTATCCATCTTTTTTCCATACAATACTCAGTTACTCACAATTGTCACTGCGTACATCCCACGCCAGAGCATTGCAACCAAGCCGATTAGATACATACTGGCTGAGGGTCCCCCACTGAATTGCCGCTGTGAGCGTGATCTTTCAACATGATAAATTAGCTTCTGAGTTTGCGAAGTCCCGCGAATTGTTGAGAAAGTGGGTTCTTAAAGAAGTAGTATTGTAGGAGATGCTTGTCGTACAATAATCCCCTCCGAAACGAAACCACACACTTGGACAATACACAGCGGTGCCTCATCAGCAGCGTCTCCCTCCCAATTTAGATCTTCATCCCTGAAGGTTTGCTCTGGAAGGTAACTAAAGTGTAGTCTAATGTTGTTGTAGCTACACAGAAAGCTGCGTCGTTCCTTGGTAGTGTCTTTGAACACGACGGAGTCTTCGACCGTCTTGTGTTACCCTAAAGATTAGTCAGTGTGATCACACTCCGATGAGCAAAAACCTTCGGCCCATAAGGACTAGATCTTGCGAATGGCTCGAGTAAGAGTTTGGTACCCCCGAACCTTTGTCCAAATACTGATTTCCTTTCTGCGCCATAAAACGTTTGGTTGGAGGAATGACAATCATTTCCATACGTCCACTTAACCGGACAGTTGCAAGTTGTTTGAGACACGAAATTCCCCACAACCCGAAGTAGACAGTGTGGCAAAAGCGGCGAACACTGACTTTAGTGACTTAAGTATGCGTTGAATGTGGCTGTTTGTTCGATCAGCTGGACAATTTGCTTACAAACATTTCACCACCAATCGAGATGACATCATCAACGCGTGGTGGGTGAAAGCGTATGCCTTTTGCGCCTGCATGGGTTGCTATAGTGTCTACTCAGGTAGGCTGACCTTGAACAATCATTGGTCGTTTGAACACGCATTCCTATTAGCCTGTTGACTGGCCTATCTTCTGAATAGTGGATGTCCGAGTGACCTCAGACAAACTCTGAGGTCCCCTTTTCATGACCTTTGTTTGTCTTCCCTTACGGTAAGTCCCGTTCCTCGTTCCGTTGGTCTGATGACCGAGGCTTCGATCCCCATTCCCTGACTTGCCATATCCTTATTATACAAACATCCACTCCTTGAAGGACACTTGAATTAATGCTTGAGAATTTTTTCAACGGTTAAACTGCTTTCACAAAAGACCGTCAGAAGGCACCACTCTTGTTTGGTCTCTACAGAGGACGGCAACTGTATTTTGGTAAGATCGTCTTTCAGGATAGATAAAATCAGTCAGTCAGCTAGTTGGTTAACTTCTGAGGCCACAATGTATCAAAGATGACCAAATGATCGGGCGTTTCTGTTGATGTGGATAATCAAGTTGATCGTGGTTGATACAATTGTTTTTGCTGAATATACTACCCCAAGAACAGACAAAGCCTTACCAGTGACTACTTTTTCATGGTTTTAGTGCTGCGGGGAACTCCCTCTCAAAAGGAACCACATCTGGTTGGTACCTTGAAATGGGTTGTCCAGATGGGAAACCGTAAAACATTGCGAAACTACATCCATTTCTCTCATATCGTTCCTGTTCAACTTAGCACAACAAAATTCGAATGTTTGGTAGCAAGAACAGTTGTTTACTTAAGTGTTCACCGACTTTGTTCTGTTGCAGTACCCATGCTGTCCGGGTTCAGTGTTTTTAGGTTTCTAAACTCTATTGTGGTCACTTCACTGATTCACTTGATTGGTACTCCTGTGCTACATATTTGAGAATCGTGAAATGCTCCGTTGTAGCCAGCGACAAATGACTGCCACTCCGTATGAGTGAAAACCGTTCATTTGTCAGTCGTTTATTGATTATCGTTGCCAGTAGGTCTTGGGGAAATAATGTTGCCCACAAAGACGCTCCAGCCGGCAGCATATGCAATGTGAATTAACAATTTCGCTCATGTCTTTGGGCATCGTTTGAGGGAAACGGAGTCTTCAAAGCAAATTGGAGGTTCTTGTGGCACTTACCCGATGAAAACTTCGCGTTTTGAATTTGTCAAGCGTGCCGATTAGTTGTTCCAAAGTCCACCTGCTGTACGCACACGGAAATATGGAGGACCATATGGGATCATGATTCCGCGCGTTAGAGATCGATAAATGCATTCGACGAAACGACCAACTATTGTTACTCCCGAGGGACAAACTCCTCTCATGATAGAAACATGCAAATGTTTGTGAATCCCGGTATATTTACGTAGGTTTTTTCTCCAGTAGCTTACAACTAAACGCGAATACAAAGTGTCCTGGACTAGTGGCCGTTCGAACGCTATAATTTTACACTTGGTTGTGCAGTTTACGGTGTTGTATCTTCATAAAAGAGTTTCAGATTTTGGTGTCCCATAAGGGACTGAAATCTGGCATTGGGTGTGTCATCACATTTTTCCAAAACACTGATCTATTTGTATCACTAGTTGATTCCACCTTAGTCAAAAGTTGTTTGACTCCGCCTACGTGAGAATATCTTGAACAGCCAAGGCCAATTGGGTTACCCCAGAAAGACCACTGCAATAGACAGTGACTGATCTGGTTGATCCAAAATTTTAAAAGGTTACAACTATGGGGAACTCGTTCTTGTCGATGTAATGTCCTCGTAGACCTGATGCATTAGACATTCGGAGTGCGTTCAATTTTCTACAGTGCCCTGTCCATAGCGTTTCAAACCCTGATGGGACGAAGGTATTTTATTCTGAAAAAAACTACTACGTTGTATCACTGAATCATAAATATGGTGTGATCTTCAACAGGCAAGTGGCTCTTGCTCTAAGTGTTTGCCCCACTGTGTTTGCAAACCCGAGTCTTTTTGATTCGTTCTATCAGAACGGCCAGTGGAAGTGTGGATATTCCACGTCGACTCAAACACTCGCACTTTATGGACAGTCAACACACAAAGAATGGGCTAAAGACATTGGACGACGGATTAATGTGAGGGAGTAGCAAATTGGGTCCAGTTCCAAGGGGTAGGGCAGCTTGAATGAATCATTTTTGCGTACGCATTCTGATTTGCTGTGTTCTTAGCAGCGTGACTTCACGGAAGTGTCTGCTGCGCAGTAGAATAATAAAAGTGTGAACAGAGTCACTCAGGTACGTTTCGCAATTGATGATGACCGCTGGTGGTATACCTCTATGGGAATCATTTAGGTCAGAAACTACGCTGGATGTAGAAACGGTCTTTGATAGTTGGGATGGTCCTCATT